CACGCGGCATACTTCGGTCACCTTCACGGAGGGACCCTTCTTGATCCATCCGATGGTATAAGGCACGGGCACGCGGCATACTTCGGTCACCTTCACGGAGGGACCCTTCTTGATCCATCCGATGGTATAAGGCACGAGCTTTGCTTCAGTCTGCAGTTTTAAGTGGTCCACCAAGGCCTTTGATACTATATTTTCATAGCTTCCATTGTCAATGATGAGGGTGCACACCTTGTTGTTGATTGAGCATCTAGAAAAAAAAAATTGGTATCGTTGTGATGAATCTGGTGTCTTCTGAGCACATATGAGTCTTTGAACAACACACGACACATTGTCGCCCTTAATCTCGACAACCTTTTTCGTGTACTCTTCTTCAAATGTTGTGTGTCCATCCTCAGCTTCCTCAGAATCCGCAAGATTAACCTTCCGCCGTTACGGGCACTCGTTGTACTTATGCCTTGGTTGGAGACATCGGAAACTACAATCGGCTTGGCATACGAACTTGCTTGAGTCATCAGGGGCTGTGGTTGAGTTGTCGACCGCTCGGCCGACCATGGAGGAACAGGCCGATCAATTGTCCTTTGCCCGACCGACTCTCCTCTCGTCTTCTCGACCGAACCTCCTGTTCGGTTCGTCTAAAAGGTAACGCTTTGGAGGATAATCTTTCCGCCTTGAGAGCCATGTTATGGGCTTCGTCCACAAAGTACACGTTGTGGATGGCTACCTTCTCTTGAATTGAATACTTCAAACCTCCGATATATTTGGCCGTAAGTTGCTCTCCACTCATAGACAAATCGCAACGAGAAGTAAGACTGAAGAACTCTTCGGTATATGCGCTTACTGATCTGATTCCTTGACGGCATTACTCGAACTGATTGTAGAGAATTTGTTGGTAGTCGGGTGGTAGGAACCTAGCTTGTAGTAACTGCTTCATGCGTCGCCAAACCAGAACTGGTTGCTTGTCTTACCGTCGCCTAATATTTTGAGTCTGGTCCTACCATATCGTGGCTCATCTTTTGAGACGATACACCACAAACTTCACCTAGTTTGCTTCAGGAATATTAGCCATCTCAAAAACTTCTTCACTTCGTAGAGCCAATCCAGGAAAGCCTCTATGTTCAGATTTCCTCCAAATGAAGGAAGCCCTACTTTCATCCGATATTCTTTTTTCTGATGATGTCGGCCTTGTCAGTGGTAGTTGTGACGAGGGTTGAAGCCTCTATCCCGACCTTTGTCATGAGGTCGATCTCCCTCTTCTTCGTTCGACACGTTATCATACTATGGCCCTTCAAATTGGTTACCATAGTCCACTTCGTTGTTGTTGTAATCATCATGGGGAAGGGTTTGATTGGGAAGTTGTCGATGATATAGAGGGGGTTGATATGGAGGGGGTTGGTATGGAGGTGGTTGGTTTGGACGTGGTTAATTTGGAGGAGATGAACTGGAAGGGTTTGAGGATTGTACAGGGGTGGATGTCGAGGTAGCCTAACTGTGTGTCCATCCTCATCTTCCTCATAATCCGCAAGATTAACCTCCCGCCGCTACGGGCACTCGTTGTACTTATGCCTTGGTTGGAGACATCGGAAATACTTCCATACTGTCGGCTTGGCATACGAACTTGCTTGAGTCGTCGGGGGTTATGGTTGAGTTGTCGACCACTCGGCCGACCGTGGAGGAACAGGCCGATCAATTGTCCTTTGTTGGGCCGACTCTCCTTTCGTCTTCTCGACCGAACCTCCTGTTCGGTTCATTTAAAAGGTAATGCTTTGGAGGATAATCTTTCCGCCTTGAGAGCCATGTTATAGGCTTCGTCCATATAGTACACGTTGTGGATGGCTATCTTCTCTTAAATTGAATACTTCAAACCTTCGATATATTTGGCCGCAAGTTGCTCTTCACTCATAGACAAATCGCAAAGAGAAGTAAGACGAAAGAACTCTTCGGTATATGCGCTTACTGATCTGATTCCTTGACGGCATTACTCGAACTGATTGTAGAGAATTTGTTTGTAGTCGGGTGGTAGGAACCTAGCTTGTAATAACTGCTTCATGCGTCGCCAAACCCGAACTGGTTGCTTGCCTTACCGTCGCCTAGTATTTTGAGTCTGGTCCTACCATATCGTGGCTCATCTTTTGAGACGATACGCCACAAACTTCACCTAGTTTGCTTCAGGAATATTAGCCATCTCAAAAACTTCTTCACTTCGTAGAGCCAATCTAGGAAAGCCTCAATGTTCGGATTTCCTCCAAATGAAGGAAGCTCTACTTTCATCTGATATTCTTGTTCCTGATGATGTCGGCCTTGTCAGTGGTAGTTGTGACGAGGGTTGAAGCCTCTACCTCGACCTCTGTCGAGAGGTCGATCTCCCTCTTCTTTGCTCGACACGTTATCATACCATGGCCCTTCAAATTGGTTACCATAGTCCACTTCATTATTGCTGTAATCATCATGGGGAACGGTTTGATTGGGAAGTTGTCGATGATGTGGAGGGGGTTGATATGGAGGGGGTTGATATGGAGGTGGTTGGTTTGGACGTGGTTAATTTGGAGGAGATGAACTGGAGGGGTTTGAGGATTGTACGGGGGTGGATGTCGGGGTAGCCTAACTGTGTGTCCATCCTCAGCTTCCTCATAATCCGTAAGATTAACCTTCCGCCGCTACGGGCACTCGTTGTACTTATACCTTGGTTGGAGACATCGGAAATACTTCCCTACTGTCGGGTTGGCATACGAACTTGCTTGAGTCGTCGGGGGCTGTGGTTGAGTTGTCGACCGCTCGGCCAACCGTGGAGGAACAGGCCGATCAATTGTCCTTTGCCCGGCCGACTCTCCTCTCGTCTTCTCGACCGAACCTTCTGTTCGGTTCGTCTAAAAGGTAACGCTTTGGAGGATAATCTTTTTGCCTTAAGAGCCATGTTATGGGCTTCGTCCACAGAGTACACGTTGTGGATTGCTACCTTCTCTTGAATTGAATACTTCAGACCTCCGATATATTTGGCCGCAAGTTGCTCTTCACTCATAGACAAATCGCAACGAGAAGTAAGACGGAAGAATTCTTCGGTATATGCGCTTACTGATCTGATTCCTTGACGACATTACTTGAAATGATTGTAGAGAATTTGTTGGTAGTCGGGTGGTAGGAACCTAGCTTGTAGTAACTACTTCATGCGTCGCCAAACCTGAACTGGTTGCTTGCCTTACTGTCGCCTAGTATTTTGAGTCTGGTCCTACCATATCGTGGCTCGTCTTTTAAGACGATACGCCACAAACTTTACCTAGTTTGCTTCATGAATATTGGCCATCTCAAAAACTTCTTCACTTCGTAGAGCCAATCCAAGAAAGCCTCTATGTTCAGATTTCCTCCAAATGAAGGAAGCTCTACTTTCATCCGATATTCTTGTTCCTAATGATGTCGGCCTTGTCAGTGGTAGTTGTGACGAGGGTTGAAGCCTCTACCCCGACCTCTGTCATGAGGTCGATCTCCCTCTTCTTCGCTCGACACGTTATCATACCATGGCCCTTCAAATTGGTTACCATAGTCCACTTCGCTGTTGCTGTAATCATCATGGGGAAGGGTTTGATTAGGAAGTTGTCGATGATGTGGAGGGGGTTGATATGGAGGTGGTTTGTTTGGACGTGGTTAATTTGGAGGAGATGAACTGGAGGGGTTTGAGGATTGTACGGGGGTGGATGTCGGGGTAGCCTAACTCTAGGTCCGCTTAGGTGAAGACCGTCGGCGAAGTTATTTCCATTATTGAGATGAAGGGTAAGTCCTTCAATGACTTGTTGAAGGTTCTAAAGAGACACCTCCAACGTGCCAAATCTTCCATCCATAGAATCCATCCCCGCGGAAAGATCCTGTAGCTAAAGCTCCTTCTTGTCGTCACTTCCATTGTCGATGATATTGAAGCCGAAGCTCTAATACCACTTGACACAGACGTAAAAACGGGGAGGCCAATCGGATATTGTTCTGATGACGATGAGCCCTAATAATAACAGGTAGATAACGAGCTTGAATCCACAAGCCCTAGTTTTTCCAAGTTTAGGGGAGAAAACAATGGAGAAATTTCTCTTGATTCTATAATTGAAAAGTTAATTCTCGATTTACAAAGGAATTAATATTTATAGCCAACTAATCCTATCCTAACCCTAATAAAAAAGAAAGCCCGGATTTAAAAGGAAACAACCAAAAATATGAAACTTTCCTAATCTATTTCCGAGTCGACACGAGGCGTGTCGAGTAGTAACGCCTTTCGTGTCAACTGGAATGTGTTGACTAACATCGTCTTTCGTATCGATTGGCATGTGTCGACTAACACCGCCCTTCGTGTCGACTGGGGTGTGTCGTCTCATCCTGTCGTCTCGACTGTTGACTGGGATATGTCGTGTCATCTTGTCGCCTCGACTCAAGTTGAGATGTTGAGTCGTCGTCCGCTGATGTTGTCTCGTCTGTTTTTCTTCTCGTCTCGTCCAACAGTTGGTCTCCTGTATCATAATGACTACATATAAAAAAGAAAAATTGATCTCTTTCGTGACTGTTAACAGATAGAATATCCAAATCTCTACAGTAAAGTCCACTAATAATCTCATTTTTTTTTCCTTAACTTTGCGGGTTTGATTAGGGTTAGAGATGCCGCCCATTCCGTACGTTATTTTGTTAAATTCAGAGCATAATCAATTCTCTCTGGCATCTAATTAAAACATTATTCAAATTTCAATTTAGTTGTTATACTACATTATTCAAATACTAAACATCCATAAGAACTCTTAAATCACAACCGTAAAATACCACAACACTTTAAACAACTCAAATGTAATGGTCGATAACTAAATAAACAAATTTATTTTTTGTTTCAAAAATGTTTTAGTTAACACCATTTGACTAGTTCCTATAAAACTAAAAGATCCCGACTAGATCTCTTACTAACAACTTTTCAAAACCCTATACTCTCTTTATCCCTAATCTCACTCCACTTCTCTCTCTCTCTCCCCCCGTCACTTCACTCATTCAATCCTCAATGGGAGAAGCTACACTCCCCTTAACAAAATCAGATGCAGCAACCCTAGCTCCTCTAACACCACCACCACCTCCGCCATCGTCATCACTGCCTCCACCTCCAACGCGACCGATGAAAAACTCCAGCCCTAACCGTAACCGTACCAACACTTCGATCGCCATCGTATCCTACCTCATCTCCCTCCCTCTCCTTTGCTACGGCATGTGGCTACTCTTCACCAAGGACTACAACTGTCAAGACTCTCTCAATATGCCTCATCTTCGCGAGGCTATCGGCATTGGCCTCATCGTTACATTCATTATAAGTTGTTTCGTCACACATTACGAAGCGAAAGTTGTGCTCCCGGGAGCTTTGACGTTGGCTATAGCTTTGCTCACTATGATGACATTTGGGATACTTCTCATAGGGAGTTATTCGATGGAGAGTAGAGAGATACCGGCGTCTCCGTTGTGGATCAAGAGTAGGATTGATCGGATTGAGATATGGGATAATGTGAAGTCTTGCATTTATAATTCCATGACTTGTCCCGATCTTGCTTATGGTACGATTCAGCTCTCGCCTGATGATTTCAACCGCAAAAAGTTGTCGGCAATTGAGGTACCATTTGGATCTAGTCTTGTTTTGCATAGTATGTGTAGTTATTGCATGGACTTTCTGAATTATATTTATGGAGTTGTTTGATAAAATACGACGATTTAGAGATCACTGGATCATCAATCAATCAAATGCTTTTGAAAGTTTAAATATAAAAGAGTAGATAGCCTCGGATCCTCTTCACTATAAAAAAAAAAATAGGGGAATGACTAGTACTTATCACAACCATTGATTATATGATGGATGATTATGGTTTTTTTCTTTGAATAGTTCAAATTAGGAATGAGTGTAATACATGGCAGTACAGTGAGTATTAGATTTAAAATGTATCACAGTCACTCACTAGATAATTATCAGTTATTAAAATTTGTGGTCTCTCTACTTTTTTTTTACAGTGGAGAGGATCAAAGTTGATTTATATCTATCACAGTTCATCATGCATGCATTTAATCAAAAAGGCTTTATATGTGAGTGATGATTACTTTTTTTTACTTGGCACACCTACGCCTATGATCTTAAAGGATTTGAGTAAATTCTAAAACTTATCACGTAAATATCTTAGGGAACTAAACATTTCATAACTATGTTTCATGATGATATAAATTGGGTATTATAAATATGTTTATATTTCTACTATGAAGACGTAAGTTTAAATTGCGTAATTGCTTTTTCTAAAACGAAATTCCATCACTCAATACATTTTCTGTTGCAAATAGGCTAGAGCATGCATATTTTTTCTTCATTGATTGATGCACGGTGCGAAGTAAAGGACTTGTATGTGCTTATAGTGTAAACTTTATCATTTAATATCTTTCATAAAATAACATTACAATTAATTGTCTCTTATGATAAAATTCTTTCGAATAGGGTGTTATCTTTATCTTTTGTTTCATTTCATATATGGTACTAAATAATGTTAGGTTTCTAGTGTTATTCTGTTAACATATCACTTTTCACCACAACTGACATACAAATTGACACTTTTGTTCTCATTCTATACTACTTACAATGCTTCTAATAAACTTCAATTTCATTCAAGTTTGGATGCTGCAAACCTCCAAGTATTTGCAGAATGGAGTATGTTAATGCAACTTATTGGAAGCGACCAAAGGAAGATGTTGCGACATATAATACACCCCCTCCACCCCCTGGACTTCCAATGACAAATATACCTTCATCTCCTTCACTGAACTCAACGATCAATCCTCATACTTACGGAGATTGCCAAGCTTGGAGCAATGAAATCACACAACTCTGCTATGATTGCCAATCTTGCAAACAAGGATTTATATCTACCGTTCATCATAAATGGAGGATTCATGGTATTTTCATGATCACTATGTCTGTGATTCTTCTCTTGGTTCATACTCCTCGGTTCATTTTGACTATGATGCAAAGCAGTAGGAGCTAGCGGGCTTAATTATGAGCGATAGAAGTTTCGATGATGTTTATTTTCTAGAGATTGTGACTTCTCCTCTTAATCAGTGTTTAGTGTTTGCTAGTTTGTGTAGAAATTGGATTATGCTATTCTTTTCTTTATTAATTAATTGGATTAAGTGAACTAGCTATTTGCCTCCTCTATGTGCGTACATGCATGAATACCATATAAAGCTTCTATTATCTTGGCACTTTTTGATTGACTGTATTTCCTTTATATTTGTATCAGGCCATTTATTTAAGAAAGTGCAATTTCAGCATACTATCTATGATATCACCTTTTCAAATTAAGTGCATTTTATTAGAAATCAAGTAATCCATCAAAATGGGATTAAAAGTTGTTTAAAAAATTTCTTGTGAAAGGGTTATTTTAAGAATACAAACTATATGTTTTTTCAAATTCAAAGATCAAATTAACACAATAAGGTTTCAATATATTTAAGCTTAACTTAATTTCTTATTCTGCTAAAAAATCTGGTTGAATGTGAATGATTTAGTATCAGATTTATTTCATCATGCATGACTTTTTATGTTTTTTGTGTTTATTTTGAGTTCTAAATGTACATTTCTCCAATTAAGTATATCATGAATTCTTTCAACTAAGGTTCATGTAATTAATAATATGGAAGTTCGTGGATGCGTATTTCATAAAGTTCTTGGGTTATTTGCATATGTACCCCTTACATCATGGATATTTTCAAAAAGACCCCAAATCTTAGTATTTGCAAAATTACCCTTCAAATCATCAACTTTGTGAAAAAAATATCCTTAAAATTAACAAACCATCAACTTGGTGCTAAAAATGTAACTATTTTGTTGATAATTACATTGCAATTACAAATTAGCTTATCAATAATACTTTGAGGATAATTTTGCAAATACTAAAATTTGGAGGGTATCTTTGCAAATATCTGTGATTTAAGGGGTGTATATGCAAATTTAATACGTTAAATGTTACATATGATGGAAAATTTACAGGCAATACGAGATCTTAATTCTTTTAAAAATGCTCTTAATATATTTATGCTTACATCTGGTCTTTATGTATGGTAGGTATATATATAATTTACAAAATGAGCGCAATTTATGTGGTGAGCAATTAAATTTTGAAATGAATCACAACTGTACATAGAACGATCGAGTTATGATTAATTGGAATCCAAATGGTCGCGTGCCAAGATCAGTAGATAGTTTATTCTCACTTGCGCACAGATTAATTGGAATGATAGGATCACGAACGTTTCCTAAACCAAACCAAATCATGTCGCCCTTGAGTGCGCTAGGGCTAATGGTCCACGTATAATGACACTGTAAACGATCAAAAGAAAAACGCCGTGTTGTTCCACTATCAACAAATTCAATGTCAACCACAAAAGCATCATGCATG